GCAACATCATTATTTAATAATCAGCAGGCCCAAGACGATGCAATACTGTTGACGCTGACAAGGTTCCTTACAGCTTACAAAGCATGAAGCTAGATCTCCCCCTAGGATGTCCAGGGCCCAGCAGTTCTCTGTTCTGTCACAAAGCTCATGAAAGACAGGCTATGTGAAAGCACCACACTCACACTAAGACGGGTGTTTACTCCACCAAACGGAGATCTGGGGCTTGTTCTCCAAGTGCAGCGGCTTTCCATTGCTGTGTCCCACGAAACAACATGCCCCTCCCCTAGAGTCTCTGGAAAAGGGACCCACAACTGCCATTGACTGCCCATGGCCTTTGGGGCAGGCATGTCCTACGAGCTCTGCAGACATTCTCATCTGATATTCACAATGACCTTATGAGCACACATTCATTATCAATGTATTTTACAGAGAGGCACAAAGAACTTCCCCAAGAGCCAACAGTCCATAAGGTGGGGGGCCAAAATCAAAACCAGGGCAGTCCAAGGAAAATGTGTGCCCACACAGGCCTGCACATGAAGGTTCACAGTAGTTATACTAATAACAGCCAGAATTGTTAATGACCCAAATACAGGTGACCCAAGAAACAGGGGCCTGACTGCAAAGGCGCATGAGGGAAATTTTTGGGCATCATAAAAATGTTTCATCTTTTGATTGGGGTAATAGTTACATGGGGTGTAGACATTTATCAAAACATGTCAAACTATGCACTTCAAACAGTTGTATTTTACAGTGGGTATTAAGTTATACCTAAATTAAGTTGGTTTGGCCAGGTCTGGCTCACACCTATAGTTCCAACACTTAAGGAGGACAAGGTGGGCGGATCACTTGAGGTCAGGAGCCCAAGGCCAGCTTGGCCAACATGGCAAAACCTATCTCTTCTAAAACTATAAAAATTAGCCAGGCATAGTGGCCGGCACCTTTAATCCCAGCTACTTCAGAGGCTGAGGCAGATAAATTGCTTGAACCCAGGAGGCAGAGTTTACAGTGAACCAAGATCATGCCATTGCACTCCAGCATGGGCAACAGAGCAAAACTCTATCTCAAAAAACAAACACACACACACACACACACACACACACACCACACCACACACAGAGCGTTTTTAAGAGATAGGGTCTTGCTCTGTCACCCAGGCTAGAAGACAGTGGGGCAATCACAACTCACCATAGCCTTAAACTCCTGAGCTAAAATGATCCTCTTGCCTCAACCTCCCGAAGAGCTGGGACTAGTAGCATGTACCACCATATCCAGCTATTTTTTTTATTTCTTGTAGAGACGAGGTCTTGTTGATCTTTTTTTTTCTGAGACGGACTTTCACTCGTTACCCAGGCTGGAGTGCAATGGCGTGATCTCGGCTCACTGCAACCTCCGCCTCCTGGGTTCAAGCAATTCTCCTGCTTCAGCCTCCCGAGTAGCTGGGACTACCGGTGTGTGCCACCCTGCCCAGCTAATTTTTGCATTTTTAGTAGAGACAGGGTTTCACCATATTGACCAGGATGGTCTTGATTTCTTGACCTCGTGATCCACCCACCTCAGCTTCCCAAAGTGCTGGGATTATAGGTGTGAATCACTGTGCCCGGCCCAGGTTGACTTTACACCCCTGGGCTCAAGAGATCCTCTCACCTCTGCCTTCCAAAGTACTGGCATTACAGGTGTGAGCCACTGTGCCTTGGCCAATTAAGTTGATTTTTAAAAAATGGTCACTTAATGTCAGTCTTCCCAGGTACATGGCATCCTAAGAGCCCCATCCACCTCTCCTACTCTCTGTCTTCTGTTCACTGGGCCTGTGCTTTGTCCTCATTAAGACCTTCAGGCCGGGCGCGGTGGCTCAAGCCTGTAATCCCAGCACTTTGGGAGGCCGAGGCGGGTGGATCACGAGGTCAAGAGATCGAGACCATCCTGGTCAACACAGTGAAACCCCGTCTCTACTAAAAATACAAAAAATTAGCTGGGCATGGTGGCGCGTGCCTGTAATCCCAGCTACTCAGGAGGCTGAGGCAGGAGAATTGCCTGAACCCAGGAGGTGGAGGTTGCGGTGAGCCGAGATAGCGCCATTGCACTCCAGCCTGGGCAACAAGAGCGAAACTCCGTCTCACAAAAAATAAAAAAATAAAAAAAAAAAAAAAGACCTTCAGCCTCCAGGTTCCAGCCTCCACCCTGTCTCTGGTTCCTGTCCCAGCAGCTTCTGTGACCCCCTCCTCTAATAGCAGCGCCATCCTGGCCCTAAAGTTCCTTATCCTCATGCCATCGGACTGGCTCACAAGCAGCCAGGCCTGAGACCACGCCGCCCTTCTTGGGCTGCAAAAAAAAAAAAAAAAAAAAACGAATTAAAGAAAAAAAAAGAAAGTATTTTAGGGTCCATCATAAATTCACATTCTCAAATCTCAACCAGGTCCTCACTGTTCTTGGACTCCTTTCCCGCTGTATACAATTGGCAGATTCAAATCTCCACTCCCCTCAAACCTCCCACTCTGATTCACTCCCTTTACACTTTCATCTCATCTTTGTCTAGTCGCCCACAGTTGACACCCAACTTACTTAAACCCACAGATGCTCCTGCTGTAGTGTCTTTACTACTATTTCCTTCCTTTATCATCTCCCAGTCCCCATCCTGGTCAGTACCCGCGCTTCCTCTAGCTAGGCACTCAAAACAACCTTCAACCTCATCCTTCTGGCAGTAGCGGTGGCAGTAGTAACAACTACTAACACCTTACATAACCCTTTATTATTTATCCCTGTTTTACAGATGAGCAAACTCTGGTGTACCATGTTTGAATAGTTGTTGAAGTAAATAATGCAGCCATCAGGTGGCAGAGCAGGACGCAAACACAGGTGCACCTCACTCTCCTCCCAGCCATCCACACTGAGCTGCCAAATTAACTTTCTGAAAGCTGATCGTGTCACTACTTGCTCAAAACTTTTCAAGTTCCAGCATCTGCCCATTTAAGTCTAGTTTTCTTTGTTTTTTTTTTTGAGACAGAGTCTCACTCTGTTACCCAGGCTACAGTGAAGTGGCATGATCAGAGCTCACTGCAACCTCCACTTCCCAGGCTCAAAGTGATCCTCCAATCTCAGCCTCCCTAGTAGATGGGACTACAGGCATGTGCCACCACACCTGGCTAATTTTTCTATTTTTTGTAGACATAGGGTCTCACTATGTTGCCCAGGCTGGTCTCAAATTTCTTGGCTCAAGCAATCCTCCTGCCTCACCTCCCAGAGTACTGGGATAACAAGCATAACCCACGCCTGGCCTAAGTATAGTTTCCTTAGCAGGGTATTAAGCCCCCCATATGCCAACTCAATCCAATTTTTCTGGGTTTTGCTTCTGAGAACTTCCTACTCATCAGGCAAACCATTCTCCATAAACCATATATGTGCTGCCTCTGAACACTCATGCTGTTCCACCTGGAAGGCCCTTCATTTTCCCCTTCCAAACTCAAGCCCATCTCAGGTGCTCTCTGCTCCCCTCTTCATCTGCATTCCTACCACCTTTGGTTGTAATTCCACGGTGTGGTTTAAACAGTCTGCCTTGTGTTACTTATCCCTGTACTTCCTGTCCCCTTCGGACCATAAACTACCCTTGAGCAGACAGTCTCTCCCACTTTGGGTCTCTACCGTGCTCCAACTCAGATCTTGCCTTCAGTTCTGTTACCGACAGCAACATGAACATGCCGGCTCTAACCATTGCACCTTCTAGAAAGTCTCACACAACTTTCCCTGTTCCCTCCCCAACTCCACCCAGGGGACACATATTCTCACCCATCACTCATCATTCAAACGAGTCCCTGACTAGCTCAATGGCAGCCTTTTGCACCCCCAACCTTCCACCCACTGTATGTCAATCTTCTCTGTGTGACCAGCCACTGAGTCCTCTGGCAGTCCTCTGGCAGCAGAAATGCCCATTTGTTAGTTCTCAAAGTCCCTTGAAAGCCACCTATGATGTACCTGCAATCTCCAAGACCCTGTTCATAACTTACACAAATCCCATCCGTGGTCAGGAAAGTCCTTCCTGTTACAGATGATGGCTCTGAATTTCTAATACGCCATAGGTCTCCACGCCCCATCACACTTCCTTGGTCTCAATCACTTCAAAATCCCTCAAACAGTACCTATTCAAAGCAAACTGCTCAGCAGGACCCCCAAACAGGGCCTGTGAGACAGTTAAGGATCCAAAAATGCAGGCATGCAGCCATGACTGCCGACCCTTATAGAAGATGTGCCTTTTTTTCACCCAGGCTGGAGTGCAGTAGTGCAATCACAGCTCACTGCAGCCTCAACTCTTAGGATCATGTGATCTTCCCGTCTCAGCCTCCCGAGTGGCAAGTAGCTGGGACTAGCAGTGTGCACCACCATACCCAGTTAACTTCTTTTTTGTAGAGACAGGGTCTCTCTATGTTGCCTAGGCTGGTCTTGAACTCCTGGCCTCAAGTGATCCTTTTGCCTTGGTCTCTCAAAGTGCTGGGATTACATGTGTGACCCCACCATGCTGAGTGAAGATGTGGCTTTGGAACAATTTTCTAGAAGCCAGAGGTCTTTATTTAGCAAGCTCCCATCTTCTATACCATCCCCTCTACTCCGATCCAAGTTCTACCCCCAAATTCAAAGGCCATTCTCTCCCCACTGCACCACCCAGCTGCATTTTCCATATCCCCTAAGTTAAAGAGTGACAGTAGGATCCCAATCAGACATTCTTTCTTCAAAAAGAGAAAAGCATAAATAACCCCCAAACATGTCACCTCCGGTAAATGGATGTCACCAGCCTTCATGACCCCAACCTCTGATGAAGTCAGTTATGTTTACAACCAGGCCAGAACCAGCCCAGGTATTTTGAGAGTCTCTCCTACAGGAAGGGAGCCCTTTGCTCCATCTGGGAAGCAGCCTCTTCCTTGTTGACCACATTACCAACCATATCACCTCCCTCCCAGCCCACACTGTTCCCGTGGCCCAGGAGTCCAGGCTGCCCCCCGCCAGCACCTTACCTTGTTCAGACAAGGTCGGGGCCGGCCTAGCGGTGCAGAGTGTGGCTGTGACCAGCACAGCCCAGAAGAGGAGGCACTTCCAGCTCCACATCCCAGTTCTGCAGTTAGAGGTTAGTGACAAGGCTCCACACCTCCATGGATACTCCACCGTGAGCTCGATCCTCCTTTTCAAGCTGACCCTGGGGAAAGAAAAAAACCCCAAAGTTAGGAGGGTCTGGGTAGGGGAGGAGCAAGAAGAAACAGAAGGTAAAGTATGCCACATGGTGGCTGCTTAAAGCATGGACTTACTCCTTAAGGCTTCCAGAAGAAAATTGTGACCCTACCCCAACAATGAATTAGAGGTTAGAGGTCCTGGTCGGTGCAGTGGTGCACCCTGTAATCCCAGCACTTTGGGAGGCTGAGGCAGGAGAATCACTTGAGGTCAGGAGTTCGAGACCAGTCTGGCCATGGCAAAATCCCATCTCTACTAAAAATACAAAAATTAGCCAGGGATGGTGGCACACGCTTACATGCCTATAGTCCCAGTTACTTGCGGGGTGCTGAGGCAGGAGAATCGCCTGGACCCGGGAGGCGAAGCTTACAGTGAGCCAAGATTGCGCCACTGCACTCCAACCTGGGCGACAGAGCAAGACTCTTTTTCAAAAAAAGAGGTGATTCGTCTTAATTGGACAAAGGGATGCTTTAGTTCAATTCTACAGCTATGTTTTGAGTGCAGATTATCTACAAGTCCAGGAACACCAACATGAGGTTTTCCTGTAAGCTTCAAGGTAGTGTGTGTTACAAAGTGAATGGTCTCACCGAAGTCCCAAATAGCTCTGCCCCTTTGTGGGAAACAGCTTTACAAAGTGTGCCACAATTGCAGGGGGCTTGAGCATGCTGAGGCTCCCCAGGATAAGATTTCACTCTGTCTAGGCCAAGATCGCGGCACTGTAGTCCAGGCTAGGTGATAGGGTGACTCTTGTCTCTTAAAAAAAAAAAAAAAAGACCGCTCCATCTAGGGCCAACCAGTCCCTCTGGTGAGAAATAAGGGGTGGCGGGGAATCGTGGAACAAGCTAAGGACTGGGAAATGGAAGCCAAGTACAGAGATACCTAGTTAGTAACTGCTGGACTCGATGCTGAACTCCCCGACCTATGCAATGAAGCAGCTGAAATAAATGACCTTGTGGGTACTTTCTCTTTGTAAAATTGTATGAATCACATCCATAGTTCTACCAGCCTCCCTTGCAGAGAGAACAAAACCCTCACCAGCTACTTACAAAGAGCCTCAGAGTGTGGAGCCAGGAGGGAGCCAGTTCTCCCTGATGCTAGAAGGTGACAAGTGATGTCTGACGGATATGAGGCCAGAAGTTGCGGGGGACAAGGGGACCTGGGAGGTCCCACTGCACAATCAAGGGCTCTTGCAAGCACGGAGTCAAAGATGGCTCACGCTGGCCCCAGTTAAAAGAACAGAATCTGCCGCCCTTTACCCTTCTCTGGTCTGTAGCGGTAAATTTTAAAACTCCCCAGGGTCTTAAAGAACGGATCATAGCTGTTAACATTTACCAAGTGACAAGAGTTTCTGGGCACTGTCAGGGCTATGTGGAGGTGACCATCTCTGCCTTCCAGGTGGCTTCTGTCCTAAATGCTCCAGGGAGCCATCCAAGTTATTCAGAGAATCCACTTCCCCGGAACATGCCCTAATGTGGTACTTCAGCCCTGCCTCCCCGGAGCCAGGCAGGGCCCCTCACGAGTGAGTCAGTGCTGGCTGGCAGAAAAGCCCCTGGCTTCCTGGCTTCATTCACATGTGCTTGGCCAGTGAGATACGCAGGCCATACCGCTAGCTCCCTCCAAAGGCTTACTGAAATGTTTTAATGATTTCAAATCAAAAAAGAAGTAAGCATTTCTCTTTCATTTTACTAAATTTAGGAAAGGAACTAGAAAAGACAAAATGGAATGAATACTGAACCCACTATGTAACAAGGATACCCCAAGTAGAATTAACTTAGAACTAGAAAACTTCATTTATTCCTCACTAGAAATGAGGAATGGGGGGGATAGGAATTATTATTCCTTTTAAGCAATGGAGAAACTGAGGCTCAAAGAGGTTAAGTACTTTACCCAAGGAAATGTAGCTAGCATGTAATAGAGCCTTGAGGCTTTTGGATATTACAGGGCAGTAAATAAGGGGGTTTTGGATATTAGAGGAGGAAGTAAATAAGGGGTTGACCAAACCTGATTCCATCTGATGCAAACTCAATCTCTTCAAACCAAGCAGATAAGGGCAAATCCAAGGTAACTCCGGTAACAAGAGAGCCTTGATTTTCAACTCTGTTGGTCAAAAGAAAGACCCTTGTGCCAAGGCACAGTGGCTCACACCTGTAATCCCAACCCTTTGGGAGGCTGAGGCGGGTGGATCACCTGAGGTCGGGAGTTGGAGATCAGCCTGGCCAACATGGAGAAATTCTATCTCTACTGAAAATACAAAAATTAACTGAGTGTGGTGGCATGTGCCTGTAATTCCAGCTACTCAGGAGGCTGAGGCACGAGAACTGCTTGAACCCGGGAGGTCGAGGTTGCAGTGAGCTGAGATTGCGTCACTGCACTCCAACAGGACTCAAAACGAACTAACTAACTAAATAAAAGAAAGACCCTTGGAAGCAGACCACAGATGGGCCATCTAGGACACTGCATAGGGCACATTCACAGATCTGGGATAGACGCATTACTTGCTGGAGGATACGCCTAAAGCCACATTCCACATCTTACCACATCCCAAAGATACACTTGATGCAGGCCTGTCACCCAGAAACGCATACCTGACCAAGAAAACCCAGGTCCCATGGTAACTGCCAGAGTACTGAACGAGTTTTCAGGTTCCAACAGGAAAGAGTGGTGTCACGTTGAGATGGTTAAGGTTGTTTCCACTAGGCCACTCAGTCCCCAGAAAAGCCTGCCGCCTCCTCCCAGGTGTGGGCTGGCTGCAGACTGCCCCTCTCAGCTCCCTGGCCAATGCACTTCAAATTCATCTGCCAGCTTCCCTCTTGTTCTTTCCCAAAAAAGATGCAAACGTCTCTTCCTCTCCTACCCCTCTGGCTCTCACATTTGACATTTGTAAAACAAGGATGTTAAGGAAACCTGGCCTCCTGGTACCAACTTCCGGAATAAGAAGTGGGCACACGCTCAATGCCACCTGCCTGCAAAAAAACGTAATGACACAGACCACTAGTCCATATACCGTCTGGGACCCTGTCACTGCCTCCGTCACCTCAGTTTCTCATTCTACTAATTAATGAATTTTTCCAGTCCCTCGGGAACAGCTTCCTTCCTTCACTGCTTGACAGATGTGACCTGCAGCCTTGCAGGTGTGCACGGCAGCATCCGCCAAGGCCCTGCAGCTGGTTCCCCCCGCCCCAGTTCTCCAATATCAGCCAGGCTCCTGGGATTCACGCCTGCATGCAGAGGTCCTTGGTGGGGAGCAGAGAAGGGGCACAACATCTTAGTTTCCCACTCATCGGAGGGGGCTGAAACACTTGCCCTGCCTCCATCACAGGGGTTATGAAGACTGAATGGGCTGCATGGGTGAAAGTGCCTGCAGTCTTCTCACTGGAGTACTGATCTAACATAAGGGGTGGTCAGTGTCTGGTGAGATAGGTGGGTCTGGATGGACCTTGTGACCTTGCAGCTCTCCCAGTTCTAAGAGAAAAACCTTCTATAAGAGCCGGGCGAGGTGGCTCAAGCCTGTAATCCCAGCACTTTGGGAGGCTGAGGTGGGTGGATCACCTGAGGTCAGGAGTTTGAGACCAGCCTGACCAATATGGTGAACAAAAAAAAAAAATCTTCTGTGAATGTCAGATCTTGTTCAAAAATCATGTAAGGAAAACTAGCTGACGAATTCCTGGCCAAGTCTTTTTATTCTTTTTCTTTGTCACCCAAGCTAGAGTGCAGTGGCACGATCTCAACTCACTACAACCTCCACCCCCAGGCTCAAGTGATCCTCCCACCTCAGCCTCCCAAGTAGCTGGGACCACAGGCATGTGCCGCCATGCCCGGCTAATTTCCTGTATATTTAGCAGAGATGGGGGTCTCACCATGTTGCGCAGGTTGGGCTTGAACCCTTGAGCTTAAGCAATCCACCCACCCTGGCCACCCAAAGTGCTGGGATTACAGGCATGAGCCACCGAACCCAGCCTGAGTCTTTTTATTCTTGCCTGCTGGAGACAGTATAAATTCATGCCCTTCCATTTATGATCCTGTACTCTGGGACAGTCACTTAACCATTCTGAGCCTCAGTTTCCCACTGACAGGAAGTTATACCATAGGTGGTTACGAGGCTCAAATGGGTGGTGTGGGTGAACGTGCCCGTTCTCTCCTAAGTACTAACCAAATTTAAAGAATTACATATTTGTATTTCATACATAATATTAAGATACTTGTAATTCTTATTGTATAGTGCTTTGAGTCACTCCTTGATAGCACTCTCAGGAGATTTGGTAATTGGCAGCAGGAAGACAGGAACTTCCAAACTTTTCAAAGGCAGTTCTCATTCTCCATCTTCATATCTTACATTCGTTTTTTTTTTTTGAGACGGAGTTTCGCTCTTGTTACCCAGGCTGGAGTGCAATGGCGCGATCTCGGCTCACCGCAACCTCCGCCTCCTGGGTTCAGGCAATTCTTCTGCCTCAGCCTCCTGAGTAGCTGGGATTACAGGCACGTGCCACCATGCCCAGCTAATTTTTTTGTGTGTGTATTTTTAGTAGAGACAGGGTTTCACCATGTTGACCAGGATGGTCTTGATCTCTTGACCTCGTGATCCACCCGCCTCGGCCTCCCAAAGTGCTGGGATTACAGGCTTGAACCACCGCGCCTGGCTCATATCTTATATTCTATACTTGTGGCTCATACAGTGGCTACTGCACACTTGAAATGTGGCTGGTGCTAACGGATACGCTAGAAGTAAAAAGTATATATACATTGCACCTTAAAAACTTGTTATTGGAAAAAAAAAATGTTGGCTGGGTGTGGTGGCTCATGCCTGCAATCTCAGCACATTGGGAGGCCAGGGCAGGCGGGTCACCTAAGGTCAGGGGCTCGAGACCAGCCTGGCCATCATGGTGAAACCCCGTCTCTACCAAAAATACGAAAGGATTAGCCAGGCATTGTGGTGGTCGCCTGTAATCCCAGCTACTCAGGAGGCTGAGG